CTAGTGTCACATCAAGGGAGTAAACCATTATGAAGTAATGGCACTTGTTACCAACAAGAAATGTGAGGAAATGTTTTTGAGTCGGACATCAATAAAAACAAAACCAAAAACTTCTAGACACCCATGCATTGATACTTACTGCAATATATTTCTACTCACCCCTGGTCGTCAGAGATGTTCATCTTTATGAGGATAAAAAATTAAAGTAAAATAAATCATAACTCAAACATTGGGGGCGTTGTTTTTGTTGACCTTGAAGAGTGGAATCTCTTTTGACATGTGTTTGCAACACTGCTCTTTAGTGTTGTCATACACACAACCCCCTCCCTTTCAACTCAAATTTTAATTTCATCAGTGCTGTTGGCCACTTTTCGCTGGACTTTAAGATAAATGTGAAAAAAAAAAAGGTTCCTGAGCCACAGCCATTACAAAGGAGGCTCTTTAGCATCTTTTATACGCAGACAGCAGAAAAGATGGGACTGTAATTTTAAACCAAAATCAGGGTCAAAACCTGTGGTGTATTTCACTAAATAACACACAGACAGACAGTGCTCTTACTGCACGTTCATTCTTTACTCAAAAACTGATATCCCAGCATTCCCTAGCTAGGCTGAAATGATTAGTCTACGGCACAACCTAGTTACCAAAATACTTAAACTGAAAACAAAACCAATTTTAAACATCACACTAATTTTCAGCTTGCGTGCTAATAACAGAATAACATCAAGGCACTGTCCACCTAACCCAAGGTCAAGTGTATAAAATTACGTAGAGGAAGACATGGAAATTACAGGCCCACTCTATGTGATTGTGTGTCATACTCAGTTCTAACTATTTATTTTAATTGTAATTGATTATTTACTGCATTGGAAAATGTGCATCAAACTAAATGTGTTTTCTTTGGAAACATCTCTACCAGAAGGAAAAAACAGACAGCAGCTCATCGTCATGATCATCATCACTGGTAGTTTATTACTGTACACACACTTTCTTAGTATCATCATAGAGTCATATGTACACACTTGACTTTCTCTCACTTGCGCACACACACACACAGAGGCAAACACACAAAACACGCAAGAGACGTCATCATCTGTGCAGGGTTCAATCACAGTCCGACAAAGAAAGAACACTTGATTTTAAATACACACACACACACACACACACACACACTAACAGAGCAGATACTTGCATATGGCCCTGCTTTAACTCACATGTGAGACCTCATTAAAAACAAAGCAGTTAATGAGCAAAAATGTAGCTCCCCTCGGTAATTTATACGTCCAAAATTTTTAACTGGCTAACACAAGTGCTTACTTTGACCTGTGTTAAGGCATGTTCCATGTAAAAGAAACAAACAAACAAACAAAAAAAAAAACAAGATTAGACAATTTTCAAAATGTTTCTAATGTTACATAGAGTGGGACCCATACAATCGACACAACATATCAGTATCAGTCAGTATCTTTGTTTTCCTTTAAGATATGAGGCAATCAGGAGCATCAGCCAACAGTTCTCTTCCTCCAGTTTCTCCAAGCTTCTTTTGCAGCCATTGTATTTTTTAATATTCAGAAACAAACAAACAAACAAAAAAAATCAACTGTGCCTTCTGCATTTTGCAACTGTTAAGTATTAGCCCATCGCTCTTCATTTGCTTAACATACTAAAAAAAGTCTGCTGAAAAAAACCCCTAAATGTACACAACCTCACTTCAATCTGTTTAGGAACCTAAAAATTCTTACTTTGATCTTGCTTTCATAGTTTTAATAATAATTTAATCCAAAATGTGCTTTCTGATATGTGATCTGTAAACCGGTGACTGTAACATTCAAGAATAATATTCTCAAAGCTCCACCTCATTTGCAATATTACACCATTTACACCTGTTTGTTATTAGATCTAAATCAATTCTGGAGAAGTATTTGTCTGATAAGCTTTGTCTGTCATTAGCTAACTGTGGCAGCAGCTGCTGCGAAGACAAACTGCTGAAGACAACAAAGAGAACAGCAGCACTAAATCGATCACTGAGCAAATGATGAGTAATTACTCAGCTGTGAGCATTATTGCATTAATGCAGCCATATGATAGACTTTTATTCAAAGTAAATGTACTGTCGGAAAACCTGGGGGAGTTTTTGCTCAGACAGAGACTGAACTGACCTACTTTCTCTTATTGTTCGAAAAACAGCCGTCCTGTTAATAAAACAAACAAAAACAAAGACTCAAGAAGCTTAAAATACCTTCGTAAGTATGGTGCAACATGAAACTGGGCTCTTACATGTGTTTAACTTAACATCATTTAATACAACAAACTGGAGTCAGTCCAGGAAGTTACACAGCTTTGTAACCGACCAGTCCCCACGGCCTATGTTGCTAAACTTTAGCTACAAAGCAATAATGGGCGCCTACCAGGTGCAGCTATGAACCAGCATCACCAGAGAATGAATCCGAATGCCTTGATTCTTCCACAGATTTGGGAAAAAATGCTGCTGCAGGTGAATATTAGAGCTGTTAAAGCAGAGCCACACGTCTTTACCAGAATATTAGTGGACTGCAGTGGTACAGGTCAGAACCACAGACAGAACAGACTGAAGAAAGCAGAGGTATGTGGTCACCAGTACAAACACTGGCTTTATACAGTACATTTCTGCCCCATATGCATTAGACACAAACAGAGTGGTGTCTGACAATGAAGTGGCTGATGTTGCATTGAATCTGGAACAGTATTTTGAGCATGTTAAAATATTAACAACAAATGAAACACAACCTTGATGCAGAGTTAAGGTTTGCCTTTTTTTAGTTTAGCACTGTAGAAGCTGAGCTCAGCCAACTCGTCTATGTTCACTTCCTTTTTCCTACTGACTGTGCCGGGTGACCTTGAATGATAACCTTGTGTTGAAAACTGTCTTCATTATTCTCTAAATCCAGTTAATTTTACATCAAATCTTTGTTACAGACAACACTCCTGAGTGATGCAGCTCTGTAATGGACTGTAAAATAAGAAAGGGTCAGACACTCAATGCTACCTTTGACCTCTAGAGGTAATTGATTGGGTTATATTTTAACATGGAGGGACATTGCCACCAAATACTTAGAAAAAAACATCAGGTATCCTGTAAATAAAACCAATGAAAGCAGTTAAACAAGGTCATGTGGGTGCGTTAAGGACAAAGTGATTTTGTGCTTTAGTATTGACACATGACCACAGAAAAAAAACAGTGTACATTTGTAAAAAATCCAGGGGAAAAAAAGAGGCCTTTTTCACATTCACACACACTTTTCAAATTACTATGAGGGTAACAAAGGTCAATTATAGCAAAGAAATACTTTGAAAAAGAAACCCTGCTTTACACAGTAAGTGTATCTCTTTGTCATCTGATTTGTCTTTTTTGCTTATGTTTCAAAGTCTCAAGAAGAAAGACTATCATAAAACCTGATAAGCGCGAACTGCCCTCTTTTAAAAAAACAAAAAATAAACAAAACAGTAAACAAGAGCTCGAGCTAATATAAAAATATTAAGAAACCACATGATCCTCTTACTGCCAACAGGGGGCCTGACTCCAGGCTCATTTGTTCCCCTGCGACTCCGAAACTCTGACATCTTGGTCATCACCTCAATCCACACAAAACGAGGAAAAACAAAGTGTTGCAGGTAAACAGTGTCACATAAAGACCTATTAATACCGTAGGTGAGTACAGTCCAAGTACAAGTGAGTGATTGTCACTGGGGAACTGGGTGATGCACAGGACATGTGCAGGGATATGCAGGAGGTGAGAGGATGATGATGAAGATGATGGTGATGATGATGACTCTTTGCTGTTTTGGCCACTGGCCCAACGTGTCTCTCTGACTACAGTCAGTCCACCACAGAGATTGTTCAGATGAAGACTCTTTCAGACTTCATGTTGCCTCCACAGCCTCTAGTCAGGGATTAGACCAGACCAGCTGTTACAAAAGCACTGGGGTGTTTTTTTTTGTTTTTTTTGCAGATGAGTTGGCGCTGCGACAGAAGGCAATATATCAATGTACTCATTTCTTCATGGTCTGACAGTGCCATGTGCTCAGAGACAAAATTCCAGTTGTTGCTGAAAGACCTTTACTCTAAGAGTCTCCAACTCTAACGCCACTGCCCATGTCTGGGTCTCGTCCCACATTCAGCAGGCTGCTACTGGGGTGCATGGCTTCAAAGTCTCTCCACAAGGTCACGGCAACGCCACTGCTGAAAACAAGATGCTGAACTTGTAAACGAGGGTGTGAATAAAGTACGTGAGGAAGTGAAAGTAAAAAAAAAAAAAGACCAACACAAAATGTTTGATGCTACTCTGTAAACAAAAATATTGTAATATTTTAGCGGATAGTTTTCACAGCCATTGTGCTTCGGTGACAGAGCTGGGCAACAGTGGTGGTTTCAACATCAGCTGTAGTCGGATTAATCCGGTCTGAAGATAGGAACCTTAGGTAGGAACTCTATTAGGATCACCTGCAGATGGCAGAGGACAGAACAGCTGTTACAGTGGCATTTTGTTTTTTCAAAAAATGTAGTGTCAGTCAAACATGACAGAGACAAAACATTTCCTAATTTTTACCACAGGGAACATGAATTTGTACTAAACTCCATAACCGTTGCTGCATGCACTCTATCACACAGGTTTAAGTCAAAACAATTGTGAAAAAATAAATTCCGGTAATGCATAATCATAACTCTGATACAATTGTAACCTATGGTATTGTAAATGGTAAAAGTCCTCTGATAAGTAGGCAAGAAAATTGATAACTACATTCAATAAAACAACTTCTAATACTTACATATTCCATCATGTTGTTGGATTCACACTTCCTCTTGCTTAGTCTCCAATGCAAACACAACTGGAAGCAAAATTTTAAAGTGATCAGAACTGTTTAACAACTATTGTATTTCTGTGATAAAGCTGCAGCTTGAATTCAGATTAAGTTGCAGGCACTGTTTCTTTGGTTGACATCCAATGGTACTGCAAGTTGCTCGATTATTTCTGTCTGCATTTGTTAATTTCTAATGAGTTTTGTGTTTGAATCACCAAACTGCAAGTATTATAACCAATGGCACTTTGCTTACAATCCACTGTGCAAAGGTTTTTTTTGTTTTGTTTTTACTAAAGCAACTCTCTCAGGTTATAATTTTATGGACATAGTTGGTCATAAATCCTTGTTTCACAGTCTACTTACCTTGTGATAAAGTCTGCTGTTTTCCCAATCCAGGAGTTTTTCTATTGACCTTCTCGTCTAGAGATGACCAGATTATTAGTATATATTGCTTCATGTCATCAAAGATGTACCTTCTTTAAATTTTCAAAACCAGTACTGAACAGATATCTCACCCTTTTGCTGAGACAAACAACAGGCCACAAACTGAAGCCCAGAGTGCAACAGCAACAGAGGCAGCCACACAGCAGCCACCGCACATTCACTGGTAGCGTCTTTCTCAGGCAGCTGTTTACACGATTGATACTGGCTTTAAATTCCTCTGGTGCAACCTAGGGGTAAATGAAGTGAATATGTGACATAGAACACGTTTAAATGTGTCAACAAAATGATGCAATTTATGGGAGCCATTAGCATATCACTCACCTTCCCTGTAAGTGCTGAAGGAAATTCTGACTCAAATTTGTTACTTAGCCCAAACCTGTAGGACAGAAGACAAATGTGTGGGACTTATTCATGTTTACCGAAACAAACAAACAAAAAAGAAAATCTGATATTTATTTTGGTGTGCAAAATGAAGCAAAACAAAAGGGGTCTAGATTTGTAGTTGCTAGAAGAGAAATAAAAGCAAAATGAAACGAACCGACATCATCAATATTTACATTTAGTAAAAGAAATACTGCGATATTTCAGCATTGCAAAAAAAAATCATGTATATGTACATATTACTAAAAAATAGTTTTATCACATATAGATTTCCAGTGCATCAAAAACCTACCTACTTAAAAATAAAGTGTAGAATACTTAAAAATATTCTACACTTTGCATCGACTGTGTGCAATGAAGAAACGTCTATTTGTTTTTCTTCAATAATTGTACTACCTTCTATCACCTGCGGTTGTGCAAGAGCAAACATTTTTTATTGCCTTTGTTTACAGGACACTCTAGCAATGTTGATATCAAGACTGAACTCGAAAAACAACATATGCAGCCTTGCTACTACGGGGACCAATAGAACATGATTCAATGCTGATTAGACCTCATCAATGGTGATGAATTTAAAACAGAGAAAAGAGTTGCCTTGATCAAGGGGACTGTTAAATTTGAGGTTATCTGAAATTCTTGGTCTTTTTCACTGCTGTTGGTATTCGTATAATTTGCGCTACTTCTTACGAACATGCATTTCCAAGGCAGGGGATTTTGAACTTCATTTACACGAGCTGATAAAAAGATAAAAGTCTAGGTGAGTGGTTAGCATCAAAGCCAGGATTAGAAGCCGACAGAACGAACCTCTTTCTGCAATTAAGAGTCAGTCGACAGCATAGCAGAGCTATCACTGAACAAACTGTCTGGACCTGGCCTTAACTCAGTACCATCATATTTTTATATAAAAAGAAAGGCTTTAATGGTTGGGGGTTGATTTAAAATATAAGACAACCACCGACTGCTACCAGACGTAGCTGACTGCTAACTATAATTAGCTGTCTACGGTAGGTCAAAGCAGGAGGCTAACAGACAGCTAACAGACAGAGAACCGGAATGCTTTCACTGCAGCTACTTCCGCTACTGTCGTGCTGGCAACAACAAGCTCTACACCCGCTATCAGTCTGACTCAACGAGTGCTTACACAGTGACGTGACCGGACCCTCGCACAACCACCGGGTCCGGAGCGTACTTGAGGAGCTGCTCCTCTGCGGCCCTGTCCTCGTCCTCCTCTTCCTCCTCTTCCTCGTAGATCTCATCAAAGTCCTCCATCATCGCACGGCTCGGTGTCGCGCTGGAGAGACACGTCGCCGAACGATGGCGAGATTTACCGGGCAAAAGAGTCCAGAGGGAACCGAAAGAAAATCGGAATAAAACAATCTATCCGCCCCGAAGACAATTTACTTCACATCGTTCAGCTATGGTTCAGCTGCCAGCGAACAAAACATCAACATCCGCCGCAGTAACCGCACGACACCGGAAAGGGGACTGACGTGTTTACGTCCTATTTCTATTTTTTTATTTGCCCTTTAAACATACACTAGCACATAATTGGTTGAGATTTGATTTAATTTTAGGTTAAGCTACAATACAAAGCGAAAATTTATTATTTGCCGTATTTTGCAATTAACATAACAGTTCTATTGTTCGAGGAAAATATTACTTTCCTTTCTAATATAGACACTATTGTGTTTATTACACTAAATAACTGATATAATTTTGTTGAATATATACTGTATATTAAATGAGCTTTCCTCCTAGGATAGATTAGTCTAATTAACGTAATTTAATTTATATGTTTTAATATTGTATTATTATATTATATTATTATTATTGTTATTTTAATTTCACAATGTTCCTACTCAGTTAGAATGTCAATACATGAAGTATGGTACTTTGGTGAAATAAAATATATTTGATTTATTCCTTACTCTTGAAAATATTGTAGACTGTTCTACTTAATACTGTAAACTGAATAAGTTAGATCCGAAGTTTGTAAGAAAAATTAAATAACCTACAAAACAACAAGTTATTTCAAATCTTAATTCAAAAATATAATTGTACAAGAAAGTTTAATAAACCGGAAGCTAAACCGATGTAATTTCAAAGTAAGATAAAATAATGTGACACTTATCAGAGAAAATCTAAAATAAATTTAAATTTACCCGGGTAAGTATGTGAAATTGTGAGATTGAATAGAAGGTTCACTTCTTAAACATACTTCGGAACTATTTTATATATACCGTTACATTTCTAAAATCGAGTCTATTCTAAAAATGTAATTTGAAAGCTGCTTCGATTTTAAGTTTTAAACTGTAGTTTCCGGTTTCGGGGGCGTGGCGTTGTGTAGCAATCGTCGTTAGGGCGAACATTCGTTTAATCTATCGAATACTTGAATAAATAGGAAAGGAATGTTTTAAGATGTTTTCTCGGTTTATCAGGGACTATGTTCCGGCTTGTACCAGCGGAGTTTTGATAGTGAATCTGTTGTCGTGCACTCTTTTTGGTATCCAAACATGGTCTAACTTGACAGAGGGATTCTTCAGTGTCGGTTCCTCAGTCTTCCAACATGGACACATCCACAAGCTTTTTATTTATCCACTCTATCATCAGACACTGCTGCAAATGGTCTTGAACGCCACAAGTCTGTTACTTTTTAGTGGGAGCTTGGAGAAAGGTGTGGGCACAGTCCGGTTCCTGTTCGTCTTCTTCCTGCTGTCCACCACCACGGGTGTTTTGTACAGCTTCCTGGATCTCTTGCAGGGGGGCAGCAGCCACACAGAGGGTTTGCTTCCTGTGGCGTTGGCCTGTGTGGCTTTGACTACCATGCACACGAAGATGACCAAAGGTTTCCTGTGTGGGGTCAGTTTTCCCACCATGGCACTGCCCTGGGTGCTGCTCATCATCACCAGTGCCTTAATTCCAAACTCTGTGCTCCCATGTAACATCATAGCTGTACTGGTTGGATGGATGTTCGGGAAGGGATGGTTCTCCCTTCTGAACATGTCTGAGAACAGGGCTGCTTCTCTGGAGAAAATACTGCCTTTCAGGATGTTAAAAAACATCAGTGGTGATTTGTTTGTACCTGCTTCTGCTGAGGAAAGGAGGAGAACTCTGCTGCCACGCATCAATCCAACACCTGGTTCCTACCCAGTCCAAGCTTATGCTCCTCTGTCCAGCATTCAAGCTGGTAATAACTTAATGTATGAAGGTTGGCATAATCAAGCCAGTGCTGTTCCTGGTGCAGCACCACTTCTTCATTCTCATGGAAAGAAGTCAACAGAAAACTCCAGCTTAAACCACGGCCACAGCCACAGCTGCAATCACAGCCACCATGGTCATAGTCATAGTCATGATCATGGTCATAGTCATAGTCATGGTCATCCTTAAACATGTGCATTAGCACTTCTAAGCCTCTGGATTAGCCTTAATAAAATAATACTGCTACAGCTGCCATTACATATTTACTCACTGTTAATTACTTATGTCATTTATTTGACGTTAAAGTTATAGGTTGTTTTTGTATAAAGTGCCACTAACTTTAAGGCATGCCCTCTTGTGCACTGTTTTCTTTACCAAATGTCTATGCGTACATAAAACAATGTTGTCATTCTGATGTCTGTTGCATTTTCTTCCTTTAATACGTGGTCTCAGACATATTTCTGATTATGTATTTTGGACGTTTTCCTGAATTAAAGAAATGGATATAAACTAACAAAACAAATACATTTCTTTGAGTGAACTATATTCTTCTGATTCTGGGGTTTTCAGAACAACAAAACACCAGTAAAATAATTTCACGTTCCATTTCTTTAATAGTACAAAGGTGGACATGAAATTAAGGTATTTATTGAGTATTTAATGCAGTGAGATTAAAAGTTATCTAATGACAGTCAAAGCCAAACAGACAAATAATTGAAGTTCTGAAGCAGTTTGGTTGAATTGACTGATTCACATAGATCATAATACATGTCACTGACTGAGCTGCACTTTTTTTTCATTCATTCAAATGGGAATCATTCTTCCCATGTGTCTCCATAAATGTTCTTCTTCACTGTTACAAAAAAGAAAACAGGAAGTTTAGTCAACAAAATTAACAGCTTGTTACACATTTTTACCAAAGCACTTCACCTTCTTTCTTTGTCCTGTCTCGTTCTTTCTCAGGTGATGGTTTGAGCGTTGCCTCAGCCTTCTGGGTAAGCGTGACTTCATAGTTTTCTCTGTTTTTGACCCTCAGATTCTCATAAAGTATTGACTTCCTCTGGGGCTCCTCCTCTTCCAAGTATGATTTGGCTGAAGGTAATGCAGATAGAGACAGAAGTGACATAATTGAACCGTAAATAACAATAAAATTTAGGAATCAGATTGTTATCAGGATAAATAATAAATAAATAATATTCTGAAAAAAGTGAGGAAGAACCTCTGCCTCTGAAAGAAGGTGCCACTCTGACCAGAAAAATAAAAGTAATAATAATAAACAGTATTTCTCTAAATTCTATAATGTCAGTCAGCAGCTGTACTCCTATCACTCGAAGAGTATAGGAAGGTTGCCTGGGAAACACTGATTGCTAAATATATAACGTATGCTACACTGTATAAAAAGCATACAATAGCTCTGTGGTACCTTGACCACTGATACCATCTCTGCTCATTTGTGTTGATGGGTCTGGATTGTATCCTTGATCGAAATCTCTGGAGTAACTGGGTATCTGACTTGGAGATGTTGCCTGGAACATAGGATCAAATGACTGCTTGTCCGGATGGCTCATCTCTGACTCATGGCCCTGAGAACTGTGGACAAAAATGAAATGGAAATGTAGAATTTCTGAATAAAAATGCCAGATTTCTTTCAAGTACATGTAAAACTCACTATTGTTGAGCTGATCCTGCCCTCTTCCTTAGAGCTTCTCCCAGCGGAGAGTTCTCCAAACTCTTGAATTTCTCGTGACATGTTTTCATATACGATATCTTCCCTGCAAAGTAGCCAAACATACCAGCAACTGGAAAGAAAACCAAACAAAACATCAACAAGTCATGCGATGCATCTGGGTTTCTTTGAAAATATTAATTATTTATACTTTAATAATAATTAAATACTTAAAGTAGTAGTCATTATACCAAATTAACATTACTACTAATTTATTTTATGATGCCACCTATAAATAGGTGAAAGCCAAAGTGTAGAGTGCACACTAAGTATTATAATTTTAACAAAATTTTTAACAAAGCCAAAACTGTAAAAATTTCACCCCCTACCAAACATATAAATATTATTATCATATCATGTGCCTCTGCTTATTTCTAATATTAATCTAAGTTAATTTGACCCAGTTTAGCACAAAATAACTCACAGGCCAGTTTTGGTAGCGGTCCGAATCTTGGAGAAACAGATACAGACCCTGCAAATTCACAATGAATAGTTTTATTATTTAATCATTTAATTATCACTTTTTTTTTCAAATTAATTACACTTCATATCTACTATTACCTCTCGTGACAAGAGCCTGGGTTATAGCCATGCTAATGACAGAGAAGGGCACCGCTGTAAAAGAAGCATGATCATGAAATACAGAGACAAATTCACCAAGGTGACTCAAAACAATATTGACAATTATATGTGCAAGAAAGAACTTACACCTGTACCAAAAGCTCTCGTGGCTGCACTCACGAAACACCCGCTTCTCCTCTTCATTAGGAACGTAATCTACAGGTATCTGTGCAAACACACACATGGATTCTATTCGTTTTAGACGTTTATATATTGAATAGTCTGCATTAATAACACAAACATCATATAATCAAAGAAAACACCGTGAAAATAAATAACTCATTTAAGAAAGTAAAGTACTGGTATATCGATGATAACGGGCACTTCTTTAAAAAAAAAAAAAACTTTGTTCCTTTTTTCATTATTTACTAAATCACATGGCCACTGGAATAACTAAGAACAATTTATTAAATCCATTATAAAGACAAATGCTCAACGTACGTTAGTGTAATGTCTTATTTAGAATTGAACAGCTACTGTACAAATCAGTGGTTTTCCTCAACACAATCTTCAATTCATCCAAAGTGCAGCAGCATACAACACCTAGCATGGTCCTGTGTTAGCTGCAACTGTTACCTGTGTCCCGGGCAGCTGCTGCTGCTGCTGGTCTGAATAAGTTGACGTGTTTGAGGCCATGGTTGCAGTGTGGTCGGTATTTATGTTAGTTGTTTTAAGTGTGAGAAAATAAAATGTAAAACAATCAGCGGACTTAAACTGCTGCTCAGTGTCATTGCCACAACCGACAGTGACACAACCCGGAAGTAAAAGTCGAGACAGATTCTCACTGATCTGTTCTTATGTAAAATATATGTATAATATCTATAATAATATATAATATAATGTGCGCATATTTTTATGTGTTTAGGATTATCCACAAGTAAAATGTTTCAGAAATAGAGAATCTGTTTTAATTATTTTTAGATTATTTGATTGAACGTTTTATTTTGAAAGCTCAAAAACATGCATATTACATCCCCATCCATTCTCGCCCTCTGTCGCCCTCCACTGGTAATATTCACAAGGATCTTAAGTACAGTGCAGTTTTATTTAAAAAGAAAATGTTCAAATAAAAGTTATGAAATAAATTTATTGGCCTGAAACGATGTAGCATGTTGTGGACCAAAGATAAATATCAAATAACAGAACAATACATGTAATAGCTCTAAATGGTCGTTAGATGATGCTATTGGACTTTACTACTCAATTTGTTTCTTTTTCTTTTTCTTCAAACACTCTAATGTTGTCCCCACTGTGAATTTTTCTATATTTGGGTTATGTTTTGTTAAGTTGAAATTGAAGTTATGTTTACATTCATTGATTACTCCAACATGTGAACATGACATAACAGGAGGAGATACTTCAGTATCTTGTCTGCCTTTTAAACATCCTTGCTTCACACTATACAACTTTCATGAAAATTCACTTCCATAATGATCCAGTCAGACACTCTGTCCCAAAATGTCTCTCCAAGGCCAAAAGATAGATTGTTGATCATTTTAAATATTGATCATTGGGTAGCTCTATTAGGGGAATCAATACGCTGTCCTCAAAACCTCATTGTGTTCAAAATTTCAACTCTACTCAAATACAGGAAGTCAGGTGGTGTCTGATTGACCCAACTCTGTACGCCAGCCCTCATATCACCAACACGTGTTCTATCTCTGGAGGGTGTCATCGTCCCTGTCTCTGTTTCCCCACTGTAATCAACTCAAGCCCACCAGTGTGAGATCATAAACCCAACGCCTCTGCATGACAGATAACCGCAGGTGTAGAAGCACAGGTGAAAGTAGACGACATCACTTTGTGCCTTATCAGGCACAATGTGAATAGGATTGCAACACAACTTGGAGGAGAGATTACAAGAGAGGTGTGTTCGGGTTATCGCTGATACGGAAAAGTTTCAGGTGATGTGAAGACCACCTTCCTTTCCATCTGAGCGCAGGCAGCATTTCTGATTTTTCAGCCCAGGTGAGCTCACCACACTTGGACCAAGGACTCACAACACCTGTCCCATGTGAGTACAAACACAGGTGTCAATATTTCTGTTGTTATTTGACAATTGAGTATTTCAATTTAGTCACTCGAATTAATAACTTAATTTTCTTCTTTTCTAACTTAGATTATAGGTCACAATTATTATAAGATCTTAAAAATGATGGGTTGTATATCCAATGATGTACATCGTTAAAATAGATAGATACAGAGAAATAGATACAGAACAGTAGAATGTAACATTAGATAACATATTTGATTAGTCTGGTAACAACAAACTTGGTGTGACCATTGAATTTCACTGCAGCTTCACCATGTGACAAAATCAATACTGATGTGAGGGAGGGGAGAGTGAAAGAGACAGAAGTTTAGGAAGGGGCCAGAGAGAGAGGAGAGGATAGGGAATGAGAGAGAGAGAGAGAGAGAGAGAGATAAAGAGTGTTCATGAAGAAGTATTAGTAATTGTAAGGACTTTTTCGATTAAAATACAACATAATGTCCCCAAAAGGACCAGTAATCTTTTCAGAGACCAAAACCTCCCGTAGAGGTGGAACCTCATTGTATACATCTGTATTTCTGTTTCTGTGTGTTGAGCCAGCATGAAATTGCTAAAAGGTTTTTGTTTCTTCCTCCTACGTTACTCCAAACGGGGTTAGAGGCTGGATAGATGGATAAGGATAGATAATGGAATGGGTGGATGAGTGTATAGATAGATGGATAGATAAGGAATGTTAGTGATTTACATACAAAAAATGCCACCTTTCTTCACAGCAAACATAAAAGTCAAAACTTTGCCCTTCTATTCTTCCCTCAGCAAATGGCTCCTCAAAAACACAAGGATAACCATGAAGGTATTTTCAAATCTTAAAAAAGGGACTTCAATCAACAATATACCACATTAAGTGTACAGCACTACAGAGGGTAAGTGATGTGTATTTTCTATTTGCCTCAGAATCCAAAGTGAGTCCTGTACCTTCCACTCTGGCTTTGGTGGATGAGGAGCCAGAGGACGCAGACCCGTGGGATCTGCCAGAGCTGAAGGACACTGGGGTACCGTGGTCAGGTGAATGGTCCTAATGTGCTTGTTCAACTGTGTTTGAGAGACAAATTCCATATACTTGGATTAATACAGGTTTTTTTTTTCAATTATTTGTATCATTATTATTATGTTACTGTTACCAACTATAGCTGTCACTTTGATCCCAGTGCCAGGCACAATAACAAATTAATTTAGCTAATTAATGGAGAGAATTAAACATTAAACGTAAATAATAAATTTTATAACCTCATTTATGATGACATTTGCAAATAAGCAAATATAAGTAGTCATAAATGGTAATAAAATGTGACTCTGGAGACAGTAATGATATAAAGTAGATTGCTGAGTCATTAATTACCCCACGTGATGATTCCAGCCTTAGGACTGTGTGATTGTGTTGTTTGGCCTTTTCTTACCTTCTTTCATGAGGAAATACTTCACCAATAATTCTCTCTCTGTTCCACGTAAGGCAATAAAAATGATCACTTCAATCATCAAATGTAAATTGGTGTTTTTCCAGCTCTGGATACCAAAGGGAAGGTGCTGAGAGTGCTGCTGTCCATAGGGAAGTTTGTTGTCCTCCTGGGTCTGCTCTACATGTTCATCTGCTCCCTGGACATCCTCAGTTCAGCCTTCCAGCTGGTTGGAGGTAAACCCTCACGTGCACGTTTACATAATGACGTCAAGTCATTTCTCAGGTCGAGGGCTGTGTCAACACTGTTGCAGATTCAGCTGGTTGTAATTTCTCCTGTTCGTACTGGACGTGCACAGAGTGACCCTCCGTTCTTCTCCTTTCCACTTGTTTGTGTGTCTCACAAGGGTTTCATGTTGTGTGATCTGTGTCGAAATACAACAATAGGCAGAAAGGCATTTTCTTATTATTCATTGTACATTTACACACACGCATACACACACACAACAAAATCGGACTTCTGCACTTAACTCATCAGAAGGGAATTCCTTGGTGCTGACTCGACACACCTCAGCCAGGGCGGGATTCTAACCGGCGCCTTTTCCAATCTCCGATAACAAACCCGATACTTGATTAATTATAAAAAAGGCTAATCTCTTTTATTGGTTTCAAATGCAGAATAAAAAAAGCTACTGTGCTCAAAGTTATCGGCAGCTGTCAATGAATAATAAAAAATAAAAGATTTCTCTTTACCTTATCTTAATATATTTACTCATTACATGGTTAATGGCTGCTGACTGTCCCCACGTCCAGGTCAAAGTCACACATGTAAAATTGATTTGTTATAGTTTGACAAATGTATTATAATAATACTAATACTAATAAATACTATTAATAAACACAAACAACAACAACACTGCGTAAATGATGTTGTTGATGATGAGGAGGAAATGGCGCATTAGAAAAACACATGTTTGTTGGCAGTGCTGACGGTGCAGGTGGCTGTTCCTATCATCATGGGCACCAACATCGGGACTTCCGTCACCAACACACTAGTTGCGATGACACAAGCCGGTGATCGCAGTGTATTTCGGAGGTAACTATATTTCTTGATACATTTTTACTTACGACAACTTTCACTTTCAGTTCAATGACGACCACCGACCGTAAATAAGATGGTCAAAGTCGGCCTACAAATGTTAACAATAATTTAAGCTCTAATTTTTGCTTAATAATTTAAGCAATAAATTAAGCTCCACTGAATATTTCTCCCCATTAGTAAGAGAACATTTGAAAGAAAGTTGATTTAAATCCATAGACAAGAGACATCTCCAACAATTCACTTCTCTAAGAAGGAATTATCTGATAGAAACACTTAAATGGAAACTATGGAAAAACATTTTAGGGACAAGGGACTTGTCTTAGAACTTTTTGACTAACTCTCACATGTGAAAAACCTTTATATTCATAGGTGAATGTTTGAGTCAAGGAGTGACTCTCAGAGCATGGCTGAATTAAGAAGCTCTGTTTTTGAATATGTACTGTATATAGAACAATGTCATCTGCATACACTTTGATTGTACATCATTGTGTTACAATCGATCTACCTTGTTGAACATCAGTTGATCATTTAATGCTGTTAAACTGAACATAAAAACCAAAAAGTTGTGTCAGTTTTTCTTTATGTTCCAGAAAGTGTTAATAAAAACAATCAAAAACAGACTAGTGGCCACAACATGAGTGGCAGTATTCAGTTGCTGCCTGAAAATTCAGCTAGAAGGAAATAACATTAAAACTCTTCTTATCCAAAATTCTAAGGTTTCAACACGAGATTATCTTGTATCAGGAAGATTGCAACATATTTATATACGGTTTATCATAATTCCAGACAGAGAATTCTCTGGAAACTTCCTGGTACCACAGCAGTATGTCACACATGACTTTATAGAGTTCTCTTTGTTGCTGTATTGATTAGGTAAACTGGCCTGTCATAAAATTGACTCATGAAAGAGAAATAATCAGATACAATTATGTACTGAAAGGTACAACACCAAGAAGAAAATAACATTTACAACTAAGGTTTCCATCTAAGATTTCCATCTTTTTTTTTTTTTTTAATTTTCCCACCCTGCAGGGCTTTTGCTGGTGCCACGGTGCACGACTTCTTCAACTGGCTGTCAGTGTTGGTGCTGTTGCCTCTGGAGGTGGCGTCTGGTTATTTGTATGAGGTTACTAAGCTCATCATTGACTCCTTCAATATCCAAAGCGGAGAGGCCCCGGACCTGTTGAACGTGATCACTGATGTCCTCACCGAGTCCATCGTCATGGTAGATCTCTTCAGATCGTTGTTTGTAGTTGAGACCAGAAAAGAGACAAATCATGGCTTCAACTATATATTACAACATATTGTCACTGTATATTGGATGCACAAATGAACATCATCTGTTAGCTTGGTTATAGTGGTACATTTATCCAGACTCTTTTGTTCTTCTTCTAGTTAGATAGTTCTGTTCTCAGTGGCATCGCCACAGGAGACCCAGAAGCCCAGAACAAGAGTTTGATAAAGAGATGGTGCAAGACATTTACGAACACGGTGAGATCAGACACACATGAACGAAAGAGCAAATACAAAACAGTATTCAGGTACTGAATGTGAAACTGGTTTGTGTTCCAGACCTTGATGAATGTTACAGTACCTGGTCCTGAGAACTGCACCTCTGAGTCCCTCTGCTGGATGGATGGCAACTACACCTTCACTACCAAGAACATTTCTGAAACACACAATATCAGGAAATGTAAGACCACAGTTGTCTGTACATCACACACACACACACACATATTTTCTACTCTGTCTTATAAGAGTCACATGTTCATGAGATTCAAATGTAATTAATATGCTATGATTAAAAAAAACTTATTTTACAGGACATTAACGAACATTATCATCAGCGGTTTTAACCCATGGTTTAGAAAATTCCACCCTTGTGTTTTCATGTATTTTTACCAGGTAACCACCTGTTTGTGAACGTGAATCTTCCGGACCTTGCCATTGGTCTGATCCTGCTGGCTCTCTCTCTGCTGGTCCTCTGCTCCTGTCTGATTCTCATCGTCAAACTGCTTAACTCCATGCTGAAAGGACAGGTGGCTGGTGTCATCAAAACCATCATCAACACTGGTGAGGAGCGCTGGCTTCACAGTGTGGCCTCTGTGCTCAACATCGTATCTGGAGGATGAATATTCACAAGTGTGTTCACGTGTGTCATATGTGTTTGTGTGTCTACAGACTTCCCATTTCCATTTGGTTGGATCACCGGTTACATTGCCATTCTAGTTGGAGCTGGAATGACCTTCATCGTGCAGAGCAGCTCAGTTTTCACTTCTGCTATAACTCCACTGGTTGGTGAGTTACGAGCTGTGATCAGTTGTCTCACTCTATAAGACCATGGTACAGGTATGTTTGTGTAATATAACATGTGACTCAAGTTGACTGAGTTTTGCTGTGTAGTTAGTACACCATGTACTTTTTAACATGAGCGTTTGACGTCATCACATTAGCTCACTTAAAGTCTTATATTCTCTCACTGTTTGTTTTAATTAGGTATTGGTGTCATCAGCATAGAGAGAGCATATCCACTGTCTCTGGGTTCGAACATTGGTACCACCACCACAGCCATCCTTGCTGCCATGGCCAGTCCTGGAGACACACTGGCCAACTCTCTACAGGTCAGTAATTCAGACTGAGACTTTTTTTGATAACCTGTAGTTAACAAAATCTGAATCAATTCATGGAAATGGACGGTTGACTTAAAAGTCCTCATTGCAAAACATGTAACATTAAATGATTTTCAGAACTGTTCTAATAGTTCTGACGATCTCTTCAGTAAAGTGAATTTAGGCATTCATGGTGACTTAAGACAAAATAAGGACTGCGTGATGGCACATTGTAGGTTAGGTCAAATGGGATGGCCAATCATTCACATGCCAGCTTGGAAATCCAATACAAGTCCTTAACAATGGCTGTGTCCAAAGACGTGTATGACTGAAAGGGTTTTTAGTTTGTGTATTTGGCCTTGAAGTTTTGTTTCTTTAAGTTTTGTTTCCCAATGAGATGAAACCTTTCCAATCAAGCTCTTTTCCCCCGTGATTGCTGCAGATCGCCCTGGTGCATTTCCTGTTCAACATCACCGGCATCGTTCTTTGGTATCCAATTCCATTCATGCGCATCCCCATCCGATTGGCTAAAAGTCTGGGCAACATCACTGCCTCGTACCGCTGGTTTGCTGCGGTCTACATCATCTTATGCTTCTTCGTGATACCACTCCTTGTCTTCAGCCTGTCACTGGCTGGCTGGCAGGTCTTAGTAGGTGTAGGCGTTCCTATAGTTGTGATATTGATTGTCATCATTGTGATCAATGTCCTGCAAAAAAGGAAACCTGGGTGTCTCCCTGCACCGCTGCGATCCTGGGACTTCCTCCCTCTCTGGGCCCATTCTCTGGAACCCTGGGATAAAGTGGTCGGTGTGATGACTGCCAAGTGCTGCTGCTGCTGCAAATGCTGCCAACTCAGTGAGAAAGAGTCTGTGGACAACAAAGTGAAAATGAACGGGACGTGCTATGACAACGCTGCCATGAACGCAGAAAAGGAGGTGGAAAATGAAACACAGTTAGAGCTAAATATTCTGAAAATGACACATCTTTGAGGGTTTGAAGGTAACCTGCTGTCACTGGGACCAGTCTGGAGAGTCCACCCTATTTATGTTTTATTGTTTAAATCATTTTTATAAGATTTTATTTGATCTGTTTTAAAAATTTGAGTTTGACACTGAATGTTAATCAAAAATACAGCAATAGGATTAAATACAATACATATTTTAATATGAATTTGGCCTTCCATACTATTACATATTATTGGAATAAAATCTCTCAAAACAGTGTATCTCAGCATTTCAAGAGGTTTAATAAGAGTTTTACTCTAAAACAACAACAACAAAATGTATCTATTTAATCTGGCTTTTCATGTTGAAAATTCCCAAAGGAGAAAACCCTACTATGTGATTTGCTGTACTGTAGTTTATTTCCAGAACAGCAGGAAAACTAATGGCATCTTTAGCATCATTAAAAAGTGTAAATGTCTTTAGCTTTAAAAGCACCACCATGTTAGATTTAGATGAAATCCTTAAACTTTATCTATTTCAGTAATGTAATGTAAAATATTTTTATTGATGACTTTTAGTGTACACTTACTTGAATCACTACGTTTTTACAGTAACCAACAGCAAAAAACACAAAATTCCTTTTCTGTGTTAATGTTGATTAGAAATTACAAATTTTCCTTTATTTTTGTACATTAATGTGACTGGAAAAGACGTTCAACTTTGATTCTAAACATTGCCACTAGAGGGTACTAAATCCTACATAGTGGTAGCTTTACTCTTGTTTGTAATTAGAATCATCAAGAGTGGTTTTAATGGAAATTGAACCGATTGCAGTGTTTAATAGTGCCAGTCATAATTATTTGAATGCAAATATATTAAATGTTACTGCAAAAATACAATACATCACAAACAAAATCAGGAACACTGAACAGTGTTTTAGAGCAAAGAGAAATGCAAAGTTATTGTGGATTAAACTCAATGATCTTGGTCAAAGCCGTGGGATATTCTGTGATCGTGGTCCGACTTTTACAGAACCCGTCACCCAGATCGCAAAGAATAGTCCTCTTAATGACACGTTTAAATCAGGATTAATATCTTGACTCACTGTTCAGCACACAATGTTGTCTCATGTTAAGACATCGTTTTAAGGTGTAAAACTTTAATTTTATAATTGATATGGCTGATTGTATTCAAAGAATATGATGTTTATAATTAGATGGAGTGCATCTAACTTTATATTTCTAACTTCCAATGTTCATTGTTGCCTTGTATATTCCTTTCATCATGCCAATGTAAAAAGATCTGAAGAAAAACCTTAATAAAACGTTTGCGTTTTATTTTATTGCTCACCTTGGAAAACCTCAAAACTCATCAAAACAACACAGGCTTCAAACTGACCCTGTCACAGAAGACGGCGAATATTTATTACCTTTATCACTCTTTATCTGTGGAATTTTCTGACAGAGGGAGGGAACAATTACGTGACCAACGAAAGTTCAGAGTGTTCACACTGACACCCACACACACGGTTCCTCAAAAGCATAAAAAACCAAATCTAAGAACAACAACCCTTTATAAGAAGTTCATTTGTTAATTAATTTCAAGTTTATTATGTTGAAGTACACTAAATTTGAAAGTATAGAACCCCGATCAAGTCTTTATGTGTAGAGTTTGAATGCTCTCACTGTGAACGTGGGAGATTTCAAGAATTGTCCTAATTTCATTCCAGATTAAGGATTAGGACTAAGTGAGTTAAAATGATTGTTTGCTTCTGAACGTCCAGGAAACCGCAGCTGCTGTGCTTAACACGACTGTCCCTACTGTCACATGTCAGTGAGCCATGTACAAGGATCGATAATCAATGTGCAAATGTTGAGGGCGCTCAACTGTGCCAACGCCACGAGGCACTCTTCACGGTGACATTACGGAAATCTCTCTGATTTGACCTGTACTAATAAACGGGGACGTTCCCATGACATGTTGTAAAACCCTGTGGTTTATAGACATCCAATTAAAGAAGTGGGCAGTGACCTACTCACCATAGAGAGGTAGAGTGGGTCAAAAGTTGAAGTAGAATTTTCTTCTTCAAAATACTACAAGCATGCCTGTCACATACAGTACACACAGATGAACCTGCACACACACAGATGCTGTTGTTAGGGTTCTTTAAAGACTTATCTGTAACCGCAGCATCACGTGAACAGTATTCCACAAATACCATTTACCCAACAACTAACTCTAAGCTAAAAGGAATTCACATGTTTATAATGACTTTGACCAAAATGTCCCTGTTGTTTCACTGGTCTTATTAAATCAGTAAGGGGACCAGAAGAGGTCCTCAAAAGCCTAATAAACATACATAAACCCACACACACACAGAGACAGAAAGAGAGAAAGAGGGAGAAAGAGAGAGAGAGAGGCTAAATTCTTAACTTTGACCATTACTGCTATCTAGTGGCAGATGTCAGAACGACATAAATGGGTTATTCGGAAATACCAAATCCACATAAGGTCATAAGGTAGACCTCGTTACTATTATAAAATAACCAAAATGACAGAACCAAAACAGAAATTGGAAAAAAAGGAAAACAAATAATTTATTGTTTTTTTTATACCCAGAGGCAATTTGTGGTTACAGTCCTTACAGATAACTGATGAGCACTGAAAAACTACTGTACACTACCACTATCAAGGCATTGCTGCTAAAACTACAGAGCTTATCATGACATCCACGGCTACTATTTAATCTAAGCATGTTACAACAACTACATAAAATATACATTTTCAATACATCTGCACGTGTAGCACCATCTGTTGTACTGTAGAACAGAAGAATAATTTAGTTTGGTTACGGGCCACTGCATTCTCCACAGGTCTGCGTTTCCATGTGCCTCTCTCTAAAGCCTGCAAGATGCTTCTTCATTCAGGGTCAGTTGTGCAAAGTAAACTAAGTAAAACAAAAAAATGAAAGGCTAAAAAAAATTCTATCATAACAAATCCTTTAGATCATCAGGTCCTTTTTGGACTTTTTGGGGTTTATTGCACGTTTCAAATACTAAGTCAAAGAAAACAGTTCATCAAGGATGAAAGATCAGTTTTTCACTTAGAAGGGAACTGGTCCGTAGTAGGCGATGTACGCAGCAACGATACCTGCAGTTTCGGCCATCTCATCACAGGCGTCGTTCACTTCACACACCTCTCTCAGGCTGGATGGAGGAGGAAGAGGAGGAGGAGACAACGTTAGCTTGTTGGTATTTTAATCGGACCTTTATTTATGTTTGATACATTGGATTTATGCTTTGATAGTTGTCATTTGGAGATGTCATTATTTTGTTTAATTACAGAAATGGTTTAGCTGTGATTAAATAAAACTGTACAACCCAAAGGTCAGTTAAAAAGTAACAAAAAATTTTTTAAAAAAATTACCTTTCCAACTGGAGAGGGGTGAGTTCTCCTCCGACTGCTCTTCTGCTCCTCAGGAGAACAGCAGCCAGGTCTCTCTTGGCAACAACTGGAGATGCTGCAGAAGAAAAAGTCACAAATGACACATTGAACTTCTCAGAATCACAGAAACTTCTAGAAACTTCATCTGAGAGAAAGCCATGCATACCCTCAGTGCTCGTGGACTCAGATGAGGAAGAGGAAGATGAGGAAGAAGAGGAAGAGTCTGAGGCAGAGTTGGACTCGGAGGAGGCAGACTCGGAAGAGGAGGACTCTGAGGAAGAGGCCTCGTTGGACTCGGATGATGAAGACTCTGAGGATTCCGAGGAAGAGGAAGAGGAGTCTGAGCTCGAGTTGGAGTCGGATGCGGACGAGTCGGAGGACGAGTCAGAGTCTGATGCGGAGGATGAAGCTGAGTCGGACTCAGAGGAGGATGAAGAGTCCGAAGCAGAGGTTGCGGAGTCAACAGGTGCGGCTTCAGTGGCTGTGTCGGCAGCATCGTCCACCACCACCTCTGGTTCAATGGCTGAAGATCAGAGGGGAAAGAAAACAAAACATTAGACACTCAGAACATGACTGACAACTGTGGTTCAACAGAGTCTGTTGTTGTTGTTACCTCCCATGGACCAGCACACTGAGAGAAGAGCACAGACGGAGAGGAGAGCCAGAGTCTTCATGATGCCTCCTTATTGGTTTCTGCCCGTGGACAAGTCACTTGCTATAGTTCTGTTTCTTTTCCCCAAACTTGAGGTGAATATATATACTCTCGTCCATGTCCTGTGTCAGAGCGGACCGGCACAGAGATAACCCTCTGATTGGACGAGGTATCAAATGTCAATGTTTCCGCTTCCACTTGTCATGAAGCCTTTTCTTACACCCACGCCGCCTCTGGCACTGAATCTACAAACTCATTCACCCACTCAGAAACTGTGGCCACAACAATTTCGTGCACTCGCCGGGTGAAGTGGATGGAGCTGCATGAAGACCTATGTGAGTATGTAAACACCAGTGAAAAAACAAGGCCAGGACAAACAGGGTGGGATGTGAACCTGGAGCAGACGGCAGGACACATTCAAGACAAACACCACATACAACAACACATCTTCCAGTCAAAGACATCCGTAGCTGACCTTTCCTGTGACCCATGGTTGTCTTGTAGTCTTTAAGGTTTCACACAAACTGATGCAAATTTTAGTAATATTATTTATTTACACAAGAAAAAACACTATTTTCAGTGTAAGGTTAAAGCTCTCAAACTATTACAATTTTGAATCTGAATAATCACAGGGAAGCTGTAGATTATTCATGATTGAGATAAAAAAAGAAAAAAAACTAACTTGTATATTGCTGGAACATTAAGACAAATAACAGCAGATAGATGTATGTATTTCACGTGTATTTGTGTCCAATCCAAACAATGGAATTATTCATATGGGACAATAAGCAGAAGGCTCTCCGCTGCCTGTCAGTCATCCTCTAAACAATGGAATTATTCATATGGAAAAATAAGCAGAAGTGTTACTTTAAAATGAGTTTCTCAGAGTTAGGCTTTGGATTTTAACAATACTTTTTGATGAGTTTCTATGATAACATTGGTGTAACCTCAACAATATTAATCAGTCTACTGTCACCTCACATACTTGTGAATACTTATGTCACTTATGTCATGAAAATGAATGACCATTGATTTCAGAAATTATTTTAAACAGACTGTGACTTTTCTTCCATAAAACAAAGTAAAAAAATATTCAAATTATCAACAACCAACATAATAAAAATATTATTGAACATACAAAGCAAGACATGTTTGATGGCTACTCCAGCACTAACATCCACACCACTGAGAAGGAAATAGAATGCAATTTATAAGTCAGACTTTTTTACATACTGTACCTTTAAGAGGAAAGGTAAATTGATTGAACGGCTATATAAGGTATAAATAATTTACATAAAATGTAACCTCCTTAGTACTCAAGAAAGTTTAACCCTAAATCTAGAAAATTCTCCTGTAAATTTGTCAATGTTGTCCTTTTTAATTTTTTAAATTTGTTCATAACCTTGAATTTGAACATATACAGTTAGACGCCAAATGTTATTGTCAAATAAACTGACGCTTTCTGCTGGATAATCTGAAGTAAAGTATTTTTATCACATGTGACAGAACGGCTCTCCGCTGCCTGTCAGTCATCCTCTGAGGTCAAAACGATCATTTTTATACTTGACATATTTACCAATGCCCTGCACCCCCCCCCTCCAACAATGACAGTATCCCTGCTGATTTCTATTTCACTGAATTCTATATTGGATCTCGATCGTGGAGACCCACTGCACAGCTCCGCTCTTTAACATGACAGTTGCCAGAGCTGCTGTTGCTGTTGTGTTTCTGTAGTCCTTTGCCCCAGATGTGATCTCCCACCCCCACAAACCCCAAACTACAGTCTGAGCCAACCACAGGCTACTAATCGAGTGACACGAAACAGCAGTGAGCCTCATTATGCGACAGAGCTTAATTAGAGTGTTGCACAGTCCCACTAGAACCACAGTCAGTCACTATTTACAGATCCATGCCGGTCCAGCTCCTGGCCAGACCCAGGAACGGTCACGGCTTACAAACAGCAACCAGTGGCCCAACGCACAGCCTCGGTTGATGTGTTTCAGCTTATATACAACTAAATATAGGAGAACCCCATGTGTTGGATGCTCCGTGTTGTGTATGCGGCTTTGGACGAAGCCGATACAGTTCAACTGCGACTCCAGCTGTGGGTTCCGATTAAAAAAAAAGAAAGAAAAGAGGTGGTATTTGGAGTTGACAACTGGGCCCTAAACCATATTGCGACTCAAGTACAAACCAAAGATTTATGTGCAAATATCACTTCACGTATATTTATCCCACAGAGCTCAAAACAACTTCATTTAAAATGTAGTGAGAAATGCAAGGCTGCAGCGCAGTGACCTCCGTGTCCTCTGAGTTCCATAGTCTCTCCTGTTATTCCTGGTGACAGGGATTTGTCTTGGAAAAGGTTCCATGTAATTTTAATGTCTGGTCCTGCATCCATTTTTGCATCGACATCGTACTAGGGACGGGGAAAACAATGGCCACAGTGATTCCAAACACACAGGAAACAGTGTCTGGCCCAATTCTCTGCTTTGGATCAGTTACATTTTTGTTGTTGTTGTATTTTGGCACAGGAGTCACTGCAGGCCAGACAATGAGCAATGCTCGATTTTGACTGTCCTGGTTTAACACCAGACACCGGAAAACATACAGTTCATGCATGTGTTCCAAAACATGGACCTGTTGTGCAGTGATAGGAAACGCTGTATGTACAGTTACATTCTATGGTAATTACTGACAAATGTGTTGTTTACGTTGCATTTATTTTTCCACGTTTTCCATCTGAGATTTCACATCAGAAACAATGATACGTGTGTTTTGTACTGAGAGCAGGCATTAATCACGTCGTACAAAAAGAACAAGTTAAAAGTAAAAGTTTCATACGGTGAACAGTCAGAGTCACTTTTCCGACTACGTTTCCTTTCATCACCTGCTTTTCTCCTCTTGCATGATAAACACACTCCCTATCACCGCCACAAACAACCTGTAAATAACCAGCAGCAGACGCTGGTTCAGCACTTCCTCTTTTTTTTCTTTAACCATTACCTCCGTGTGCGTGTGGAAGCTCACAGCTCAGACACAGACACATCACCACTAGTCTGTCATTTTACCTCCAGCCTTCGTATATTTAATAAATATATAAATTGGTTACAATTATAGGACGTTTCGTTGATGTGTTGGAGCAACGTATGAAACCTGGTGGACATTAAGAAATATATTTCACCTTTGGTAAGTTTTACAAAATGAGCAGGCTTAATAAATATATTTCAACTTTGGTAAGTTTTACAAAATGAGCAGGATGACTTCAATATTAAAAAAAAGGAAAATAACATTTCAGAGCAATGCTGTATAAAATAAAAACATTAAAATAAAAAAAATACATTAGAATTTTCACACACACCCAACGTTAAACTTTCCCTAAATTGTGAATTAAAAAACAGGAGCTGTCAAGTCACCTGATATTATACACTATACTATACCATAATACAGTATATCATAATATATTGTAATTAGGGATGTGCCAAGCAAATTTGGCAAAACCCAAGAACTGTGTCGTCGGAATTTCATTATCAGAGGATAGGACCGATAATCTTAGTGATATTTCACAATTATGCTAATATCGGGACGATAATAATATTAGCCGACCGATATTATCGGACATCCCTAAATATAATTAATTTAATTTATGAGTTATTTGTTCTCATCACATTTAAAGGATTCAGACAGGTCCTAAAACGCAGCACTGAAGCCCACCAACATTTTCAGGAAGTTTTTTTACAAAGCTCAGATTTAAATACCTCCAGTTACAGAGAAACCAGGAATCCATGAATCAGGACAGATGCAGCAACACAGTGAACGCTGAGAAACGTGGAACAAGAACTGAGTGAGAGAGAGCTCTATACACCCAGGGCACCAGGTGACACCAGGGACACTGATGAACAGGACACAGGTGAGTGTGATGACACTGATTAACACAGAGAGGAACTTCTTCTCACTTCTCCGCTGATTCTCTTCTTGCCCCCAAAATCTCCTTGCATTAGTTTCGTAAATAAACTTTTCTAAATTCCAGGCCGCTCTTCTCAGACACTCCAGGTCATTGTTCACTGGTGATTTATCACACTCCTCCAGGTTTGAAGCTCCTCTGGCTTCTACCCTGGTCTCAAGTTCACTCCATAGGTTTCGGAGGAGATTTATGTCGGGGCTTTTTGGAGACCAGTTATTCACTTTAACATTCTGAAGATGTTTGCTTTGGGTAATTGTCTAGTTGGAAGATAAAACAACAACCAAGAGCCGGTCTCATTTGTCATTCCAACCTCTACTGCTATCCTTTTAACCTCTGTTCTCTTCGCCCGCCTTCAGCTGTTGTCGACCTTTGCTCAGGTCTTCCTTCGCTTTTTATTCCTCTTTCTTAACAAGACGTACCGAATCATCCCCACCACACTGGACTTCTACCTCTGTGTTTCACTGTGGGGTAGGTGTTCTTTGGGTTGAATTTGTCTCCACATCATAGACATAGTGAAGTCAGACCAAAAGAAGGTGGTGGCCCTTAGGAAGTTGTGGATACAAATGAATTAAATTATGATTTAAATGAACAGTGAATCATATTGTTGTAAATCTGTAAAGTAAATAAAAAAAACGACAATACATGTGTTGATTAACCCATGGATTATATATATGGAATATATATTTCTATCTGAACTCTTGGAAACGTCCACCTGCTAGACTTTCCCAACACCACCGGATGTATTCACTTGGCAACGCCACACCACTAATTAGCCTGTTCCCAGACTGGGTTTGAAATTCCCTTCTCAGAATATTTTTGGGACGATCCCTAACTCTTTCACTCTTGAGGTCTACGCTCCTTCCATTGTTCTTCGATTCTAGTTTTTTTTAAGGCCTTTTTATCACAACCCCGTTGACTCCGTCTCAGTCTCACGTTCCACCAATTCTTGTTAGTTCATGTTTTACAGACGCAGTCATTTCACTAGATTTACACTCTTTAGGATCAATATAAATCATATGAAAAAGCCCAGCGTCCACCGCCTGGGCTCAGATCTTCCCAGCCTGCTCTCTGTCAGTCTCTCTGAGGTCTGACTCTAGTGGTTTTGACAATAACATTAGCGGACAGACTGACAAACGCCGCCAGATCCCTGTGACTTGTGGCCAGTGACCTGTGGTCGGCCAACCAGCCCACAGACGGGCTCACACTCGCCGAAACAGACACAACATAACAGACAGGGGTAAACACACAGTGAGTTTGGACACGGGGAATAACGAAAACACATTGTTTCTACGTCGTAGTTTTACTTTTACTCTTGTCAATCGTCTTAATTAGATCAAACTTTGTCTCGGAAGAGTCTTATAGGGTCCTCCTAAGGTTTATTCATCTTCTACCAGTTCACCAGTCGATCGCAGTGAAACATTGACAAACAACGATTTACTCTATACATAAAGACCATCAGTAAAAGCCAGCACAAAAAAACATATTGAAAGTTAATAATGTTAGAGTTAATAATTCCCAATTGATCAAGCATTGATCAAGAAATGATCGAAAACCTGAAAAACAAATAACTCATGAACTGAGTTGAAGTGCATGAAGTAAAATCTCCTTCTCCAGACAGCCTTTGGGCACCATGGCCTGTTGCAGGGGTTCCCAACCCCGGTCCGTGGACCAGTACCGGCCCATAAATCATTTATTACAGGGCCACAGTGGGACCCAATGAAAAATGTACTTCAGTTTTACTAATTTACTTCATCCAAAGAGAATCCAGTCATATCCATTTACATCATTATTAGATAATCTGGTAATGTTTCAAACTAACATGTCACCCAGACTCTGATACAAACAGAAAAAAGTCTAAAAGGTGTTTTATTTTGAAAATGTAATGATCCCCCAACGATCGTCGCGCTGCTACTGGTCCACAGTCGACCAGTCCTCGGTACAAAAACGGTTGGGGACCACTGGTCTGTTGGATCAGTACTTGTAGTATCGAGTTTAAAACAAAGTATGTCTGTATTTTTACAGCAATAAAAAAATAAAACTCATAACTATTCAACTTAAATTTGATTTATTTCGTGTAAAATAATTTATTTTCTCTTTGTTCTGTCAGAGTTCGGTTTTGGGTTCCGCTCCGGCCTGCTTCACCTCCTAAAAAATACAAAAGGAAGACAGGTGAAATAGAGTTCCAAGACAACATTGGCATCACGCTCGGCTCAGTCAACCTCAACTGTATTTATTTGTTGTTACAGAGACGCAGACATCGTGGAGCTGGACTGGATATTATTTGAAGAAAAAGCTGCCAAACTGTCTCGGTTCAGAAATTTACTGCACCTGTCAACGGGACCTGGATCCTCCAATGGCCCGGGATTCATTTAGGCTTATTCTTATCTTGGAAATGTCACGTGTCAGGGAATATACGACTTTATTCATTTATTTTGAAAAGGAGAACGGCACATTTGTCAAGCGAACATACTGTAAGGTTACAATTACAGGGACTTTTGAAGGGAAATTACAGTCGAAACCTTCGCTCTCAGGCAACACTCCAGTGCTTGAAGAACGGCAGAGGAAAATGTGACTGCGATGGAGGGAAATGAAGAAAACAAACTGCAGCCACAACAAGACCAGAACATTTTCTGTGCACTGTGATTTTACCAAATATGAAGGTCAGTGACAGAACAGAGACATCAGGGCTTGGAAAAAGATTACAACCGATTACAACCGAAAAACACACACATTTTACACAAGATTACAACCGAAAAACACACACATTTTTGATATATTATATATTAATACATCCTTCACATCATTAACGGCACCTGCCACTACCTGCAGGTACATAGTCATGCTGCAGGAATATTTTATTTTTAAAGAAACCGTCTCTTTAGTTCTTTGTCGTTTCAGTTTATTGTCTGTTTAGTTTCTTTCTGTCTCTTTCAGGTGCTGCACTCCCTATGTTGTGTCTCGCCTCGTTCGTCCACCTGTCACTGTGATCACCTAACCATCTCCACCTGTCTCTTGTTAACTCCTCCCCTGTCTGTAAATAAGTACATACCCATCAGTCCCCGTTTCTTGGTTTCCAGTTCCTAAACATTTCTCTGCTGTAAGTCTCATTTTTATCTCAACGTTGTTAGACTTCAGACCTGACCTTTGACCCCTGAGCCTCACTTTGTGATTTTTGAACTTCAGCCTAAGTTGTTGTTCTGGTGAACCGACCTGGACCTCTGCCTGATCTACTGACAAGTGTTCTGAGACGTTCTCCTCATTAAAGACTGTTTACTTCCAGCTGCGTCCCTCAGTTCGACCTTGTCAGAAATAAATTAAAATTATGCAGCGTAAAACAAAGCAATAAAAAAATGATAGAACTGTTAGCAGTTTGGTACTTACAGTAAAAGTGAGTAACACTTTTGTTGTTAATCTCATAAAGATTAACAACGTGAAACCCTGATCGTCTGCTCACCTTCAGGTCTCCTCGTAGGAAGGACTGGCAGAACTCCCGCACTCGCTCATTGGTGATCTCTCCTTCAGGCAGAAGCCACTTCATGTCAGAGTCGCCGTCGTAGATGCCCACTCGGGGGAGGTCATTGGTCTTCAGGCCGAAGTAGCCGAGGGAGCGGGAGTTGCCTCTGACGGCTCCGTTGATCAATACGAACAAGAACTGAAAAACAAAAGATGAGTGAGTTTTCCTCAGGATCGCAGACACAGTCCATCCATCATCACAAGCCTTTATCTGAAAAAATAAAAACTATCTGAAGATTAAAGTGACTCAAGCTACTGTTTTATTGGTGCCTTTGGTTCTCACCTTGCCTGTGAAGTCGGGGGCCAGAGCTCTCAGGTTCTTTTTGAGCTCAGTAAATTCTTTAGTCCCCCTGTTGGCAAATAGCAGGAGGTGCGCCTTCACCTCTGAATTGAACAGGCCCACTGCTGTCTGGATACATATTAAAAAAAGAATTGATAGATAGTTGAGGGGACTTACTCCTATTAACATAACATGTGTTTCCCCAGAAATGATAGATTTTCATAAGGACCTCATCCTGCATTAAATGCAAGTGTTCATAAAAAATGTCTGTCCCATTAAGTGACAAAGGTTCTCGTTAGGGATGTCCGATATTAGCTTTTTGCCAATATCCAATATGCCAATATTGTCCAAACACTTTACATTTTCAATATCAACTGATACCGATATAGGCCTGATAATATTTATTTATGTATCTGTACAAACCGCTGTATGAGTATGAGATTAATTAAATGAGCTGCAATGCTGCCACCTAGTGACGTTCACTTTAATATACAGCCGTTTTTCCCCTAAACAATTTTTAGGGCACATCACTTGGGGGAACTCAGGCATTGCTTTATCGGGTTTTTCATTATCGGAGGAAAAACCGATAACAGTTCCTACAGATATTATATAATATGCTAATATAACATGCTGATATTATTGGACATCCCTAGTTCTCGTACAATTAAAAACAAATAAAACATCTGACATCAGTACACCACTGACATTGACAACATGTAGAACAGATACAGACGGGGGGTAAAAGCCTACCATTTGGTTGTACTCTGTGACGTATCGTACTTCATTGACATTCACGAAGTTTATAATACCGTCGGCTTCCAGTTTCTTGGCCTCAGCGATGACGAGATTCTCCTGGTGGTTATCTGCCTTGATCATGTGACACACGTGGGCGTGACTCTCACCGGTAAAAAGACTCAATGCAACATCACGGTTGTTTAGCCCTAATGTGTAATACCTTTCTGAACAGAGCGATGGTGTCTGAGGGGATCTTGTACTCAGGCCACGCCTCCTTCACAGTACAAATGGCAAAAGGCACCGACTCCACACGCTTTGACGCTTCAACCAGCTCCTTGTATCCACGGCTGTCTTCTC